GACTTACTTGGTTTTATTTTTTGAGAGGGTCTTACTATGTAATTCAGGTTGGCCTTGAACTCACTAAGTAACCCAGGCTGGCCTCAATTTGTAGCAACCCTCCTGTCTCAGCCTCCCAAATGCTAGAATTACAGACATATGCTACCACACCTGGCATTTTTTTTAACATTTATATTTTAAAAATTTTTGGAAAATGTTAAGGTAATCTATACAAAGAAAAATATAAATGGACTCATCTGTACCTTTAAACATTGCCCCTACTCTAGAATCCAAGAGACTCTTATTATCTGAATTTAAAATCCCAGTTTTATGACAAATTATAGTTTATATAGGTAAGTATAAAAGATATATATCTCTATAAATATAACACTACGTACAGTTAATGTATCTTAAAAATCCGGGCAGTGTTCAGATTTCTCATTTACATAATTTCTGAAACAGTTTTTTGAATCAGAATACAAATATATTTCAGCTGATTGTTGAGTTCTTTGAGTCTTAATCTATTGGCTCCTCCCGCTCCCAAATACACAGTTACTGTATTTGTTGAAGACATCCTACAGGGTTTTCCATAATTTGGATTTTACTTGTTGCACTTTTGAATTTTTTTTCTTACATTTGTTGAGTGATATTCAGGTTTATTGGTTAGTAACAATGCTTTTTAGAAAATGTTAGGCACTTGTACAGGAAGGATTACAGAATGGGTTTCTGATCATTAATCACAACTGGTAAGCATTTCTTAGGTCTTTTATTTTATTAGGGATGTGACTTTCTAATATTTTAATGTCCTTCATTTATTAGCTAGGATATTTATGTCATTGATTGAGTTACTCTGAGGTACAATTCTTATAGGAAAAGTAGTATAAATTCTAATATTTTTACATTTTACATTTATCAGGCACCAAACAATGAGATGATTGTCTAGCAGCTACCAAAGATGACCAGTATGTTAATTTTTAAATATACTGAAATTATGAATTCAATTAAAAGACAGGCCATGTATCAGTTCATTACTATTTTATTATTGGTGCTTTAATTGTTCCAGTTTTGATGAGTGGAATCCTCTTTGGGTTGGCTCTTGAGTCTTCTTGACACAACCCTAGTAATCTGTGATTTTGGGAAAGATAAAATGTTCCAGAATCATCATGTGTATTTCATACTCCCAACCTGGTAATCAGGCATTTCTCAATGATACTGATTCACTTTTATAGGAAAGAGTATTTAGAGACCGTAATCCGGTTGCAGTAATAGATTCTTTAAGGTTATATATTCAAGAGTAAAATAAGAAACAGTATATAACACCACTCCTGATCTGGTATTTTCCATTTATACAGAAATCAAGGTTAAAAACAGTTTAAATTCAAAATAATGAAAACTCTAAAGGAAAGTTAGTCTTCAATTTAGGGTCTTGTAATAATATTGACTCCTCAGATCATGTTTTTATAGACTTCATTTGACCTTCTCTGGGTACCTCCTCCATTTTACATAGTGGAAAGTTATAGTTCGCTACCTACTGATTTATTAAAGCCAAGCCAGCCACCTTTTAAAGGTTTATAATAATTGCAAATCCACCCACAAATCAGTAAAAATTGAGTGTAGAGCCTCAAGTCAGTTGAACAGTTTGAGATTAGCAAAAGCAAAATGAAAAATTCTTGTCTGACATGGAATTCTTTCTTAAGGTGTGTTTCTTCATATATTACAAAATTGGCTTGAGAACTCTGCCTTTTCCTTCCTTCTCTCCTTCCTTGTCTGTCTCTGTCTCTGTCTCTGTCTGTCTGTCTGTCTCTCTCTCTTTCTCTTTTTTTTCTGTGGTTTTTAAAAGACAGGATCTCACTTTGTGGTACAGAATGGCATTGAACTCATTTATGTAGCCCAGGCTGGCCTTGAACTCATTGTGATCCTCCTGCCTCAGCTTCCCGAGTGTTGGGATTCATGTGTGTGCCACCACACACAGCTTTGGAAATTGTTTCTAAAATCTGAGTCTATTAAAGTAAAACTTTCTTTTATTATTATCTGAATGGTTCTTTTTATTTGGCATTCTTTTTATTCATCAGATAATTTTAAGCCACTTGTTGGATGCTTGGCAATATTTTTGGTGGTTAAAATACTAAGGAGAAATTTCCCAGTTGGCAGCTTTCACACCTTCCTCAGAAGAGGTATTTCCCTCAGCTATACTTTTTATGGGTCCACAGTAATAACGCTCCTAAAATGTACCTAAGTATTTTCTGATCACTTCCCTTTCTGATAAGTGAAACCCTGAACATCATTACTGGTATTTGCCTATGCCAACAATAGTTTATGAACTTTCTGACATTCTGAGGAACTTTTTCTAACTACTTTTCCTGTGACATGTAATTTTTAGTTTAAAGTTTCCCTTAGTTAAATCATTTTTGGTAATAAAATATAGAAATCAATTCAAATTTCTGCATTTCATTTCCACCTTTTACAATGTCTCACCTTTAAAAACATAATTTTACATATGGTAACTCGAGTTAATTTGTGTATTTTATTTTTTTAGGAGGATCTAAATGATCTGCCTCATTACATTTTCTACATAACAGTTTAATTTCAAATTACAAACATCTACAAAAATCACATTTTCCTTATTTAAAAATTGAGTCTATTTTCATCTCATATACAAAAATTAGTCAGGAATTTGTATTGAAATAAAATTGAATGGAAGGAAGCACCATTTCAATAACAATGCTGTTTTTTTGTTTTTTTAAAGGAGATCAATTAGGTGTGTCTTTGGGCTTACAAGGATGCCACTTAGGACAGCATATGATGTATAAATAATTACTTCAAAGATATATAAATAATTGCCTCATATAATATATCACCAAGGCTTTAGGAGTGGAGATAGACCTGTTATGTGATAAATGAAGGTACCAGCTGTGGGTCCCACTGCAGTCCTTGAGGGACATTCAGCCTTTCTAGATGCCTGTGACAGGGTGGGATGGCTGGATGATGATTACCACTCCATACATTCTGTGACACTCTGCATGTTCAAAGCTATGTTTATTCATACAGCATACATTTTTCCCATATGAGTTTTGAATTAACAATGAATTCCCTCAGAAAAAACTCCTTGTGAAATATGTATGGTATTAATCTGCCCACATTTTCTTCCTCTTTGCTACTTTTCTATTACCCAGAGAAACATCATTTTCTGTATATATACTTTGGTTGTCACTGTACATAGTTTGTCTTCACCTTATACTCAATGAAATAAAAACAAAAAAATGTTTTTTCTTTGTTTTGCTTTTTGAGACAGCCTAGATAGTGCAGGCTGACCTTGAACGTGCTCGTGTAGCCCAGGCTGGCCTCAAACTCACAGTATTCCTCCTGCCTCAGCCTTCCAAGTACTGGGATCTTAAGAGTATATGACCATACCTGACAGAATCTTTTTTTTTAGTTATTACATATTTGCCATATATAATGATTACATTTCACTACAGGGAATTTATATCTACACATAACTCATTTTAATTCTTTTTCTGCCTCTGCTTTTATTTTTCCAGTATCATGTTCATTTATTTATTTTATAAGACTTTATAAAATGCTGGACAAGATAGCACACACCTGTAATCCCTGCATTTGGGAGGCTGAGGCAGAAAGATTGTTGTGAGTTCAAGGCCAGTTTGAACTACACAGTGAGACTGTCTAAAAAACCAAAAAGAATTTAATTAATTATTTATCTTATATAGATTGAAGACCAAACTAATAGGCCAAAGAATAAATAAGACATGTAAGGCAATTGTACTAATTCAAGATCCACTAAATAGCTTTTGTAACCACCAACCAAAATATTTTTCTGCACACTTAACAAGACTTGAGCATGTTCCTATAGGCTCCTTTGTCTCAGTGACTGTTAGGCACTTAAAATTTGTGTTCTGAATTGAGATGTGCTATTAAATGTAAAACACAAACTAGATTTTGAAGACAGAGTATGAAAAAAGATTGTAGACTATCTCAAATTATTACACTGATTACAAGTTGAAAATATTTTGACTATATTGGGTCACATAAAGCATACTATTAAATTAATTTTACTCTAAACTTCTTTCAGTGGTTTCTAGAAAACTTTAAGTTATACTGGATATGGCCCACATCATGTTCCTACTTCCCTAAACAGTAGGAAAACTGCTGCCCTAAAACAGTGGAAAACTAATCTTTATACAGGCAGTAAAATTCCTATCTTTGTGTAACAGATAGTTCTGTTTCAGACTTTATTCCCCAAAATTCTATGGTCTGAATTACATGAAGTTGTTATCTTTCCATGTGGCATGGAAGTACCAATATGTGACTTGGGAATTCAGTTCAGTGTGATTACAGTATCATGCATGGTACCATTCAAAAAGGTTTTCTACTAACATGAGTGAAACCATTACCTCTGTGGTAGAATGCTATATTCAGTGTCTAAAATTTTTTTTAATATTGTGAGGGTTACTTTAACTGTTGGATCTTTAACTGTTAGCTTTATAAAAGAGTGTTATATAGGAAATAAATGTTAATGAAGAAAACATGTTTTGCTGCAGTAAACACTAAGTTATGGTTTTATTACTTTAATTGATAACACTACACTATATACGAATGTTAGAATAAGAAATATATTTTACTGATTTTATTACTATTGTAAATATAGTTAAAGTAATCCACAGTAAAGTTATGGTATGCTATACTTGTTTTATTGTGAATTTTAAGATGTGTATAAAAGACAGCAAACACTTAAATTGAGATAGATCAAGTTACATTTTAGTTTCATAATTTATTATGAGTGCTCTATGTAAAACTTAGTTTTTTTAATAAAACATTCCTTTAAAATTTTTAGCGTTGAGTTTGAATATTGAAATTCTAAAAATTACATTTTAAATCTTAAATGATCAATATTAAAATCATAATTACATCTTGCGTGAATATGGTAGCTAAGTAAAAAATATTCCTTTGATCATTAGAGAAAGAAGATTTTATTGTAAAACACCAATATTTGTCTTAATTTTTAGGAAACCAGGATTCGGGCAATGGAAAAAGATGCCAAGAAAAAAATCCATAACTTCTCTGTCATTAACCCTCTTGCGGGACAAGCCGTAACTCATGTTTTTGCAGTCGACAGTAGAGCAGATCTTCAGAACTGGATGGAAGCTTTCTGGCAACATTTCTTTGATCTTAGTAAGTAGATACTTAGACTATCTAATAGTGTATTCATGAATCCTGAAAGGTTGCACACACAATCTAAATATTAAAATTGCAAGTTTAGGAGTATATAGTAAGAATTTTTGATGCTCTTAAAAAATATGGCCATATGTCATCACTGCACTTAACTCTTCTCTCCTAATCTTTTTGCAGTGCCTGTCTCATGTATTATACCTTTGAATTCCTAGCATTCTTTCTTCATATATTAAAGTTCCCTTGGTCACTAAACAACCAGATGATATTTTCTAGAAATACTCGGTTTTGTCTGCATAAAGCAATATGTTTGATTCAAGGAATAAGAAGAGAACTAAGACGCAAAATTCTTTTCCAAGACAATGATGATCCTAAAATACTGAAACATTCAAGAGTTTCATTTTTATGTAACCTATAAACTCTAGATTCATTATACCATTTTGAAAATGATCTAGACTTACTTTTTTTTTAATCTCACATATGGTTTCTTTATCTCAATACTGTGCAGTGGCATGGATTACAAAAATAGTGTGGTGATAATGTAATGAGGTTCTCTAATTTTCAGTGTTAAACTTGTTTTTATTTTGTTTTTGAGACAGGGTCTCACTACGTAGTGAGGCTACCTTTGAACTCACTATGTAGCCCAGGCTGACCTCAATTCTGCAGTGATCCTTCTGCTTCAGCCTCCCAACTGTTGAGATCACAGGCGTGCATTACCACACTTGGCTTTAAAGAATTTTTACCAACAGGAAAAATATTTAAATTGTAGCAGTATTTGTATTTACTGATAGTAAATTTGACAGCATATTATGTCTGCAGAATGATGTTGTATAGAAATACACACTATAGCCGTTTCCATACAATTAAAAATTATTTCTGTAAATCATAGAAGTAATTCTAGAGACAATTTTGTAATTCTGTTTTCTGGAACACTGTAAAGAGTTAATACCTGCAGTCCTCAGATATTAACCATTTAATTTTTTAGGTCCCTTGTGATCCATGGTTTAATCAGGTATTTCAATGATGATTAGGAAGGAGGAAGCAAGACAGCTAAGAGTATTGATTACCTCCCATGAACTCTATACTTCATCTATTTCTCATGTCATCATCATGAGTTAGAAGTTATTTCACTGGGCTCTAAATAAAAAACTGGGGCCTAAAGAGGTTTCTGATTCACGACACTGTGTTAGAGTAAGATCTCTTGAATCGCCTTGAATTCTTTAGGACTTGTTTTCCCTAAGTCCCATCCCTATGCAGTCAATAAATGTCTAAGTTTTGTTCCATGCTTATCAGTTTACAATATATTCTTTATTTCAAAATTTCAACAGATCTTAGGTAGGTAACGCAATGACACTGGCAAATTTTTTTATTACAGGTTTGTAGTACATAATGGTTACATTCGTTGTGTGGAGTTGGTACATGTACATAACACATCTTAATTCTTTTTCCTCCTCCCCTAGACCCCATCCTACTCTGCCCATCTCTAAATCCCTCTCCTATTTGCAAAACGTATATCTCCCTGATTCTTACTATTTGTCCTTTAGTTTGCTCTTTACCATGTCTCATCATGCAATCATTTTCCTACAGATGGTTCAGATTATCCTTTGTGGCTGAGTAGTACTCCATTATGTAACTATACCACATTTTCTGTTTCCATTCATTCACTTTTAATTGCTTTTCTATTTATTCTGATTTAGAGAGTCTGTCTTACAAAAGGCTCTATTAACTTTCAAATACAATTCTGATATTTTATACTTTCTAGGTGGATAAAAACAAAGGAAGGCTATGTGAGGATAATAATGCTAAATATTATAGTCTATGTATCAGTTACTGTTGAGAATGGTCTCACTTTCTAGATAATCTTAAATAATTTGTGCTAAAGTAGGTAGTTAGGTTAGAATTTTTGACAGTTTTGTATGATCAGTAAGAAGGTGATGACAACTTGGTTCTCATGTCTGTCTACTTCTTTGGTATTTAATATATTTTAGAATAAAAACTATGTAATTTTTAAAGTACAAATTATATAACATTTTTAAGTGTGCTTTAGAATTTATTATGTATAGAGATGAGAATTAAAGATGGAAGTGTTTATTCTGTCCTAAACATTGACTTGTTAAAATTTATTTTCCTAGTGACACGAGCATATCTTATAATCTTATTTGAAGTTAGTGTTTAGAACCAAGTAGAGGAAGATAACATGAGCAGAATAATGTAAGAGTAATTTAATATTTGGAGCACATTTCAACTCTTTGGCCACACTGAAGAGTAGAAAGCGGGGAGGTGGGGTGGTGGTGAGAGAATTAAAATTCACAAGGAAATTCTGATGGAAGCAGGCTTGCGTGGCCTGGAAAAGAGCAGCAGAGGGTGGAGGATAGGAGGCAAGAGGGATAGAATTATGATTTATAATATTTGAGAGCTGACAAACATTTAAAAGGGCAATGACACTTGCTTTGGAAAGCTAGTAGGGATATGGATAGAAATGGGAAATCAGAGTTAAAGTAGATTTGGAGCAGACATCACGTTTTTTGTTCCAAATATTTAATATAAATATTAACTTATGTTGACAGCTTAGCAAAATTGCATGGGAACATTATAACATAAATAGTAGTGTTGGAAACATCTTCAATATATAGATTGTTATGTGAACAAAACAATTACATTTAATATTTCATGTAGGTCTCTGTTTTCTTGTTAGAATACTGGCTATGATGTATACCTGTGCATACAAACTTCCTGGCAAAATAAATGTTTCAGTGGTAAAGTCTGGGCCAGCGAACTTTGTACATTTTTACCTCTGACATCAGTAACTTGTAGAATAATAGGCCTTATGTTCCAGTTTTCAATATGATTAGTATTCTGCTGCTAGTTTAATAGTGAAATGGTTTCATTTATCAATATATACAAAATACTATATAATTTGTCTAACAATGTGACAGAAAAATATTTCCGGCTCAAAGTGAATCATTTCCTGAGGGCTTTTCCTTTCCTCTCGCCACCAAGAAGAAAAAAACAAAAAACAAAAAAAACCCTGCCTTTTATTGTATTTATCTATAAAAGGAAATAGGGGGAGAAATAAATTGTCAGATCTCAGATCCTACTGGATTTAAGTTCTGGAGAGCAACCTTTGAAGCCTTGTACTCAGGAATTTATTTCCTCTTTGAATTGCTATGTGAGTTATTTTGAAACTTGTACTGTATTCTGTATTTAGCATCATAATAAAACATACTGAAGATGGTGTTTTAAGTATTTCTTAACTAGTTAAGTAATAGATTTAAAATTTATGCACATACTATCATTTTGCCATGACAGTAAATTCAAGTAAATAGATAATTTAAGGTGACATGAAATATCTTTACCTTTTAAGCTATGGGAGTTGACCAAATTGAATACTGAATGTAGATATTGAGGATATAAAAAAAATAGAGCAGTTATAAAGAGTGTAAATCAGTATAAAACCTCTTGCTGCTGGTGTAATATGTGAAAGTGGGGAACTTCAATAATGTTATTAATTTACAGACACATAGAATCTGGCATAAATGCCATCCAAATGCACAATAAATTTTGTAAAATTAAATTTTTTTGTTATCTAGTCAGGAGAAATAAATGTGAAATTTTAAAGGTCAAAATAAAAAAAATTGTGAAACATAATTAAAAGAAAAGCTAATGTAATGTATATACTTTAAAATTTTAATTTAATAGTTGAAACAGCATATTACATGTTTGTTTTTTATCTTATTGCATATTTTTAATGACTTTATTAAAGTGCTCCCTAAAAGAAATTAGACTCAGAATTTTATGTTGTGATTTTTCTTCATGGAAAAAAGTTTTAATATACCTTTGGTATAAGCAAAAATACAGCGTTTTTCTAAGATTAGATTAATTTCAAAAGGCATGATAATCACTTTAAAGATATTTGCTAAGTCTTAAGACTTTTCAACTTAAAGGTATTTTTGAGATCCACCATTTCTTATGTTTTTTTCTACTTCTAGGCAACTGTATTTCAGTTGACATACATCTTTCAACTGTTTTGAGTACTAGATATTTTAGGTTAAAAGAAGAGAAACTGCACAAACTTCTGCCGTGACTATAAGTTTTAAGGCAAATTGTTGACTGTTTTACAGAATAATAACTAGCAGCCTAGAGATCTTAATATTTGTGCAGAGAACTTTATTTTTTTAAACAGATTATTTATATGAGCAGAATTTGACTTTATGGATAATACAAGTTTTTTTAAAAGCTTCTTTAAAACTATCTTTTGTTTATAAATTCACTGTTATTTCTCAAAGCAAAAAAAAAAAGTATTGGTATCTGTTAAAAATGAAATACATATTTTTATATTTATGTTTTGAACTAGCCTGCCTTTCTCTTTTTTTAGGCCAGTGGAAGCAGTGTTGTGAAGAACTTATGAAAATTGAGATTATGTCACCACGGAAACCACCTTTGTTCTTGACAAAAGAGGCAACCTCAGTCTACCATGATATGAGTAAGTGGGGTTTGTCTTTTGTAAGCTGCAGGATAACAAAAACAACATTGTCCATGCTCAAGCTGCTTATTCTATTGACATTAAAATGATAAAATTTTCAAGGCACAATCAAAATGAAAAGAAGACTATGATTATAAGCTAAGGAACTCATGTTTAATAGATGACTTAATACAAAATTAATGAATGCACATTTTTCATAGTTTGAATGCTCAAAATCAGACAAAAATTTTAAGATTTAAAATGAATAAAAGTCATTGAAAATAAATATTAGATGAATAGTTGAAAAATTCTGAAAATATAAATTTGCAGATTCTAAAATATAATCATGGTTAGTATTTTTTCCTGTGTTGAATTTTTTTCTAAGTGGTTTTTGGTGGATAAATATTAATAAATGAAAGCTTTCATCTCTCGTCAAAAATAATTGTCTAATAACTCAGAAAATTTTAACTTTCTGAACCTATTATTCCATTTTCGCACACTTTCAATAGTTGTTCGTTTATCTTAGTGAATAGTATTGTATATAAGCATAAGTGTATAGTAGCTGCTTTTCATTTTTCCATTAATGTACCTGCACTGACATATGCTTTAAAATGGTAGATTAGAAATACATTTAGGTTTACACATTTGAAAAATGCCAGTAATTCATTCAGTAGACATTTATCTCTGTTTCCTTATTTTTTTCCAAGGAAATGTTCTTTTTTTTTGAGACAGGATCTCACCATGTATTTCGGCTTGTCCTCAAACTTGCTAGGCATGCCAGACTGTCCTCAAACTTGCAGCAATCGGAGTGCTTAGATTACAGATGGGCACTGGGGATTTAGCTCAGTGGCTTAAGCACCTGCCTGCCAAGCACAGGGTCGTGAGTTCAATACCCGGTACAAAAAAAAAAAAAAAAATCCAAGATTACAGATGTGTACAACCATGCCCTGCTCCAAAGAAAATTTCATCCAGCACTCTTTATCACAAAGTGGTGTAAGGACCTCACTCTCTTCCCTGAGTTTCTTATTTGATTTTTTTTTGTGTGTGTGTTTTATTTTGTTTTTTCACTTTATCTGAGACTTCTCTGGTCTACAAGAAAGAATACTGAGTTGTAATTATCCAGTTTGCTCATTAAGCTTTCCTAGAAGTTGAAATAAGGTTTCAAATCAAAATAATTTCCCAGTAAATACCTAACCTACACAATTAAGTACTCATATATCTTCTTTTTATATAAGAAAGTTTTTATTCAAGTAGCCATGTGTTACATGTATTATATGTTTATATACTATGTATTTTATATATACTAGGTATCGTGTATGTATAATATATATGTGTGTAGTAACATGTATGAAATCTTTGGGTTTTGGTTCTATGGATCAGTTATTTTTAAGGTAAAGGTTTTATTAGTTACTGTACTCAGATTTTTGGTGGACATATAGATATTAGTTGGGAAATAATAATTTACTCAAAGGACAAACTCTTAAATTTTTTCTATTTTTTCCTTAAAATTATTGCAGGCATTGATTCACCTGTGAAACTTGAAAGTTTAACTGACATAATACAAAAAAAAATTGAAGAAACAAATGGACAGTTCCTTATTGGTCAGAATGAAGAGGTCTCACCACCTCCTTGGGGTGCAGTATTTGATGGTAATCATAAAATGGTTATCCAGAAAAAGGTATTGTCCTCTGCAGGTGAGCAATTACATGATGAGAAAAGGAAAAAGAGACGAGCTCCTCTTCCTCCTCCTGATAAACCTCCATTCAGCTTAAAAACACAGAGCAGCACAGATCAGTCGGGTAAGGACACCTGGGGAAATGCAAGTACGTCTCAGTCTTTGCTCTTGGATACCAGACTGTCAACCCTAAAGCATCACTTACAGAAACCAATTGCTGCTCCTCGAAAACTTCTTCCTGCCAGGAAAAGTAGTTTAACTGATGGTGAGCACACAGACACTAAAACCAATTTTGAAACTAAGCCAGTGCCAGCTCCGAGGCAGAAATCCATCAAAGACATTTTGGATCCTAGATCATGGCTGCAGGCACAAGTATGAAAAATTCTTACTGTATAAAACGTTGAACAGAATGTAACTGTGAGGCCTAATTCAGAGGCATTGTGAATGTTATATAATTTTATAGTAGTGATTTATATAAATAGTAACCTGTTAGGTATAGAAAATTTTTTTAATAATGAAATGGATTTCTTTTTTGTTTCTGATTTTTCAGATTGTAAGTGATTTTTTTTTCCCCATAGAGTGTAAGCAGCAATTTCTAGACATCCTAATTGTTAGAAGGGTTAATTTATTCCTAAATTAGTACCAAGCAATGAATAAGCACTAAATAGAAGAAACCATTAACATTTCTTTTAGGGAGAGACTGCCTAGTAATTTAAAATGTGTTAAATATGAGCCATATTCTCATTGTGAGAATTTAAATACTAATGGAATGTTTCAAAGGTTTTATTCAAACCACAAATTATAGAATCCACCCAAGAAAATTTTCTTCTTAGCATTCTGGAATTCTCATCTAATGGTTCACTGGCTCTCATCTATTGTTTAACTCACTAGTTTATAGATTTGACCTTTTAAATTCCTGGGATAAATTTTGGAATATTAAATTCTTTGTCTTTAAAGGGAATTTGTAATGTGCTATTCAAAGTCATTTCCTTGATGAGCCCTGAAATCCTGTTGACATTAACTTTCATAAGTGAACCATAACATTTATTAGTTCAGAGAAATGGTAGATGAAATGTTCTTTATGTCTACTTTTGTGTGTGTGGTGCTAATTTCCATTATGACTTTGGAATTTCAGGAAGTGAGTAGCTGATTAACACCTTAAAATTTAATACTTATTTGAAAAACAGATGGCAGATTTTTAAAAATCATAAAAGTTGGCCATGGTAATAATTTTGAGGATTAATCCTTTTAAAATTTTTAATTAGTTTCCTTTTTCTGGTAAGGGTTGATGTGTGTTATTGATACTATTCATTAAAAGTCATATTCTTACAACAATAACACTGGAATCATTTCCATAGGCGGTAATTTCCATAGCAACTAATCATAGGGACCCAAACAGGATTATGAAATCAAGTGAAGAATAAATAACAAGAGGATGAATGTCTTAAAGGAATAAAAAAAGTTCATTTTTTGTAACAACACTTGTAAACAAGAGGAGAACAGTTTAAAAAATCTAATCAGAATTTCCAAATAAAAGTTTCCATAAGGTGTCAGCAGCAGCACTAAAATCTCAAATCACACTGAACCCTAAATGTCATTGCAAGTAAAAATATAAAAATTACTGCCCTGTGTATAATCTCTGGAGATCTTTTTAAAGCTAGGAAGAGCTGTATTTGGATCAGAGCTACATTTTGCAAAATAAAATGAACACTTGACCAAAAAAAGCATTAATTTAAATGGAGTCTTTGTTATTTTTAGATAGCACAGGTTTTTTTTTCTTTTTTTTCATTTATAGAGCATGATGTAGCTGCCAGATTACTTTGAACCTGACAAAAGATCTCTTGTGTTAATGACACCATGGCAAACATGGCATTTGGTGAGAAGAAACTGACCTAAAAAGCTGATTATTTTTTCTACTGGAAAAGGCTCATAAATTTCTGTTGCAATTGCCATTTTGTTAAATGATATATTCAAAACCTAAGGGATATTATTTGAATTTTTAATTTTTTAAAAAACTCACTGCAGTTTTTGACAGCATTTATGATTGTCACTGCCATTAAATTTTTCAGCTAAAAGATGCCACAGGCAAAATTGTTTCTGATATCAGCATCTAAGCGTCCCCCCCCCAAGTTGATGCCTTCCTTTATTACAAACCAGTATTAAAACTTTCAAATTCTATTCTTGTCGTTTCTCCTGATGTAAATTATAGCAGGAGAATTTAAGTTGTACAGAAAAGAGAATTTATTCACAGAGAAATTACCTAGCTGTTGTGTTCTCAGAAGGCAACTTGGAACCAGGTCTGAAGTCCTTTCTAGAACCATTTAGGTGAAGCCTGCCTGTGTGCCACCCCTCCCTGCTCACCCCACCTGCCCACATTATTCTTTCTATTTCTGGGAACCCAGCTTCCTGTATGTTAGTGTTTTTAAAAGTCAGCCAGCAATCTCAGCTATGTCTTTTGATCATAGTGCCCATTAAATAATAGTTTACCTGCTCCCTAAAAAGGAAAATTATAATACAAAATTGGATTTTGCTTCTTCTGTCTGTCATTCTTCTCCTCCCACTTCTATTTTCCTTCTTTTGCAATTTAAAAAAGTATCTAAAAGTACTGAGTAAAACATGTTAAGGTGTTCATCAGAAATATTTGTTTTCTCATTCCCTGAAGCAGATGTTTATGACAGAGAAATATACCGTGTAACATGAAAGGTTTCAGGTGTTTTTTGAGCTGGCTTTTCACATTCCTTGTTTGTCCTTTTAATTTATCACTGGATTTATGTAAACTTGAAGCAGTTTGCTGTCAGGTGTTGTTATTACAATTGGAGAACATAATAGGAAAATAGATATTTATGATATTATAATTTTGATGAAGATAATGTCTTAGACAATACATTTACATTTCAAGTTCTAGGGTACAAATTACTCACAATAGCATTTAAGATAGTATTATTTTTAATTTCTACAAAGTGATAATTTTTTAAATTTTAACATCTTGCAAGGGCAAAGAATTTTTTTCACTAAAAACACACACTTCCTAAAGTAAATATCAAGCAAGCATGTCTTGTCTTGCTGAGTTTTGTCAAATCTACCTTAACTGTCTGCTTTGCTCCCTAACTTCTTTTAAATGGATGTGAATGTATATAGAAAACTAAATTCACTTATTATAAAGGCCTTATCTTTACCCTTTAGGGTACCACTAAATGTCTTTTACAGTGGAAGCTGCCTTGATTTAGAGACAACTCATGTAAGGTAGGTTAAGCAGTCAAGTATTTCTTTAGGCTTATGGGCAGCACCTCAGCTACCTACTGTGAAGTTAATTAATTCAGTACAAAATGAAATTATAGGGCAGTTTGGTGCAGTTTGTTAAATGCCATTCAAATGTAATCATCTGTTACTATGAATGAGGAAAAACCGTATTAGATAGAGAATGCTGTACCACGAACAAGAAGAGAAATGCTTTTTAGGAAAAAAAAAATCTCTGCTCAGAATTTACCAAATTCAGTTTTTTTTTTCCAGAGTGAATTATTGAACAGTAATTAAACTTTAATGACCATTTATGTTCTAGTAGTCGTTCTCATTGTTCTACTAAACTGTAATGTAAATGGAGCTGACATTTTGTACTTACATTTCAAGGCATTATTTTTTATTTTAAAGAGTAAAAACAATAGCATTACTCTTTTAAGTGTTTACATGTTTATTTTTAACTACTTCATTCTAATAATAGTTATATGAAAATTGTTCTGGATTATGCAGTTTTCTAGTTAACCCTGGAAGAGATATTACTTTGAGTTTTTAAAAGGCAAAATTTCATTTGAAAATATACTAAGGAATTGTTTTCTGACATGTTTGCATTATTAGCATTGTTCATAATTTTTTAATTGAATGTGGATAAAATTTCTGTATTAAAAAAAGTATTAATGTTAAAATACTAAACATATTTGGTAAGGAAGCCTAAATCATGTGATTAAAACTTCTGGTACATTGCAGGAACTGATTCATGAAGATATTTGTTTTGGTTTGGTTTGGATTTGGTTTAGATTTTTTGTGAGACAGTGTCTTAGCAGAGCTGTATAGTGTAGGCTAGCCTCAAATTTGCTTATGAAGCCCAGACTGGTCTCGAATTTATATAATCCTCCTGCCTCAGCCTTTAGAGGGCTAGAATTATAGACATGTGCCACCATGCCCAGCAATGAGGCTATTTTTTAGCATTTTTCCTTGGAATCTCTCTCTAAGGTAGACTGATAGAAGTAGACATTTTAGAGGAGGATTTAGTGGTAGCTGGCTACTTGTTAGAAAACTAATGCTCCAATTACCCCCTGATATTTAACATTTATTTAATTGTTTGCATATTGTTCTTCTTAAAGTGTACACATTATTAAGTGTCCATCGATACAACCTTATTTTTAGATTAGTGATCTAGAATTTCCAGAGTTCAAGTCACCGTGATAAATAGTTTGGATGTCCACTGTGTTCAATCCCTGTTAGCTACAAAGAGACTTCTTATTTTAATTCACCTCCCTCAGTACTGAATTTTTTCTCTTGGAGCACTTAGGAAAGGGGGTTGGGACAGAAATGAGCAGTACTGGCTCAGTTACAGTCAACATTTACTTCTAAGTCTGTAGTATGATTAGAAATATTTGAAGTTGCTGTTGAGAAAAAAAATTCTTCCTTTCTCTAAAGAGGCGCCTACTAATCAGTGTACTTAGATAAACAAAATACCTTAAGTTTCAGTTAAGAAAAAAATGATTTCAGAAATATTTAAAAACATTTTTCTTTCTCTCAGTATAGGAAAAAATACCAATCCTGACATATTTGATAATTAAGATTATGCCAAATTATACTGAAAATTGTTTTTCAGTTGCAACAGCTTGCTTTTAAGAGCTATAGGAATCTGTTAATGTAACTATTAAATGAGAAGTAGGTTGAAAAGATGTTATATATTCATAATTATGCTGTATCACAAGTATGTTTCAAGATACCAAAATAAATTTTGTTGAAAATGGATACTTTTGATGCTTTTCTGTTACATCAAAATATTTTTATTTTTGTCTATTATAAAGGATGCAAATTTTCTTTCATTTTTTGTGAATAGATACATTTTTTAGTTTGCTGCTTTAATAAATATTTAACCTAATTCATCATAGGAATTTGTACTTTTAGATGAAAAGGCATAATTATTCATTTAGTAACCTCAGTTACTAAAATGTATTAAATATGTACAAAATAGAAAACTAGATAATATGTGCATACATATTCATTCAAATACTCTATTTGATTCTCCATCCAGTTATTTGCATTCAGTTTTAAAAGATTCTTTGGTGGGGCCAGGGGGGCAGTACCAGGGATTAAACTTATGACCTTGCGCTTGCCAGGCAGGCGCTTCTACTGCTGAGCTAAATCCCTAGCCCTCCAATCACTTTCCACAGTTTTCAGGAACGTTCCAATCCAGCTCCCACCTACCACACTCTTCCAGCGAGGCTGTCCTCTTGCCACGCTCCTCTCGTGGATGCTTCCTTCACAAACTGTCATTTCTGCTTGTTCATCATTTTCTTATGCTAAACTCTGTGACTCAGATCCCTTACTCTTCTCCCCTTTATGTAAACCTCCCCTCAACCAATTAGTAATCAGCAAATGTTGGTCTTCCAAATGGTAGCTCCTTCAAATTTTTCAGTTCCCCTTCCACCTAAGTAGTATATTTCTTCTTTAATGTATGCAGGTATACATAAAATATATGTTATTTATGCTTTTGTATCCTGTGTTTATGTGTTACTGAGTGACACGTTACTATAAACTTAACTAATTAACAACACCAGAAGTTGGGGTAGGTTCAATGAGATGGAGCCTTAAGATTTCAGAAGGCAGAAATCAAGGTGTTAGCCAGGCTCGATTCTTATCTGGAGGTTCTGGGGGAAATGCACTTCCCAGATTACTCAGATTGTTGGCAAAATTGTGCCTCCTTCAATCTCCAACACAAGCAATAGTGCCTCCAGTTTTCCTTGCATGTCAAATCTGATTTTTCTGCTACCAGTGCAAGAAAGTGCTTTGCTTTTAAAGGGCCCATTACATGAGAAATACTCATCAGGATATCCCTTTTGATTAATTCAGGGTCCATTGATCAGTAACAGTTACATCTGGAAAGTCTCTGCATGTGGTATAATCCCATATGTGATACCACATTTAAAGGGCAGGAAATCTTGAAGTGCCTTTTATAGAATTCTGCCTACCATACCCTGTTATGGAAGGAGCTTATTCATTGAAAACTTTTAACCCTATCATAGTATATTATAATGACAATATGAATTGCTGAATATTTATTATATGTGTATGTGTAAGATGCTATGCTAAATATTTTAAATGAACAAACATTTCATTGTATTTATTTTGTTTTTTGATGTGGCACTGGAGATTGAACCCAGAGCCTTCACACTGAGCCATGCACCCTCCCTTTTTGAGACAGTCTCACTAAATTACCTATACTTGGCTTAATTTGCAGTCATCTCAGTCTCCCAGAGTGCTAGAAATGAATCAATATATTTAACCATTGGTGTAACTTCTATCAGCTCCACTAAACAAAAACTGAAGAGTAGAGAAGTCTTGCCTTGGACATACTATGTAGTACTTGATTATGATTGTGGAATGCGACCTTGGTTACATTCTGACTTAGCTGCATGATGGGGTTGGATATTTTCTTATAACCTCATTTGGCTTCTTTAAATCTCTAGTATAAAAATACTACTTACTTCATAAGATAGTTGTGATTATTAAATAAGATAATCCATGCAACACATAGTGTAGGGCCTGGAACTTAGAGTTGTTGCCTTGTTTTTACAGCCGAGTAAATATGTAAAATACATGTAAAAAAAGAATATAGCTAACTGATTGATACATATATATATATACTCAATGATTGAAAGTTACTTATAACTCCTTGCTTATTTTCATTTTTGGTTCATTGTGAACACATAGTGTCACATTCTATTGGATAAGACTAACCATAGCAGAGAAGATTGAATCTATCTGGATGCAGACATTTAAAATAATATCCACCATTAAGAAACAAATTGTGATTGGAAGTCCCATTTATTCCAGCTATTCTACTTCTAGGCATATTCCCAGAAGAACTGAAAACATCATACCACAGTGATATATGTGCACCCATGTTTGTAGCAGCACAATTTGTAATAGCCAGATCTTGGAAACAATGTAAGTGTCCATCAACTGAGGAATGGATAAAAAAGTTGTGGTATTTTTGTACAATGGAGTACTACTCAGCTATAAAGAATGATCACATTGAGATATTTATTAAAAAATGGGCACAGCTTGAGGCCATACTCATAAGCAAAATAAATCAAACTTACATATATAAATACCAAATAGTTTCCCTAGTGTAAGAAATGGTAAGAATACATAAAAATATGTGGTAATCATGATCCCCCATTATATTGCTTTGAAGCCTTATAATGTTTTCATTTGTTAATTGGAACTCTTTTATTCTGGGTTGTTTGATTTTATTGAAGTCCCATTAAGCTTTTGTTCTTCTGTCTCCATCAGTTTTATTATGTTGTATCTTATTAGATTTTATTATATGTGATAACTAAACAATTTTTATAGACAAGGAGATAATATAAAAACCATTGTTTGTTTTTTGTTAGTTGGTTCTAAATACCCTGTAATACCTTCATTCTCTTGAATAATTTTACACTGTCTTGTTATATTTGATGTTATAGTATCCGAAGTTATACTCTAATATTTCAAGGAAAGAGACACTATGGTAACTACTGTTACATCGGGTTATCTTGTGGTGAAACACTATGTTACTTAAATTGTTCTGTTCTGACCTATATTGTTATGTCCTCTTTTATCTTAATCTCCTTCTTTTTTTAATAAAAAAGAAACAAATTGTGAAGATTATAGAATACATACAGCAGTGTAGACAATATAAAACAGTAGCCAGTATAACTTGCATCTAATTTTAAGTGCTCTGAGAGATCAGAAAGACAAATAACTTTTACAGAGCACTCTTTCAATTAAGTTCAAAAGGCCTTGTATCTTTTTACTATAAAAATAATAAGCCGTGTAAAATTATACACTGTGCCTATCTTGCAGTGATGTCAGGACACAAAATAGAATTTTTTTTTTAAACAGTCTCACTATATAGTCCAGGTTGGTCCTGAACTCATTATGTAGTCCAGGCTAACCTCAAACTTGTCACAATCCTATTGCCTCACCTTCCCAAGTGCTAGAATTACATCCATATGCCATCATGCCCACCTTATAATAGGATATTTTAGATTTCAGAGATTTAAGTAAAACAGACGATTCAGTGGGTTCCTGGAGGAGTTCCAGCATTCAAAGAAGCTTAATACCAATGGAAGTTGAGGAAAAGGCATCAGTAGTTAACTGGGCAGAGACAGAATTAGCATATTGCGCAGTTCAAATTAAGGCAGGTAAAACCAGTTGGAATGACTGAAGCAAACCCGGTGATTAATGTTATCAACTCGATTGATTTAGGAGATGCCTAAGAGATTAGTGAAGCACACTTCTGGCTGGGTAGGCCATAGGTGGGCCACGGTGGTATGAGCTTGGGGACTCTATCTGGTCCTTAGTCCCTGACCTCTTCCTTCCTCTCTCGTTTTTCTCCTGCTCTTTCTGGCTGCCATGAGGTTGGCAGCTTTCCTCCACTAGGCCCTTCCTTCTGCCATGATGGTTCTGCCCTGAAACCAGCTGACCATAGACTGAAATTAGGAGCCAAAATAAACCTTTTCTCCTTTAAACTGTGTCTGCCAGATATTTTGTCCCAGCAATGAAAAGGTGATTCATACATAGAGGGAAGTGCCCGATAGCTTGGGCCACATGTAGAACCTTGAAGGCTAGAGGAAAATAAGGGTGAACTAACTAGAAATAGGTGACAAGAGCATTAGCATTGGCAAAGTTAGTGGAAAGAACATGCATCTTGCAAGTTGGATTCTAGTTCCTGGTTACCAGTAGACCCAGGCTTGTTTGAGCTCAGCCTGGGGAAGTTAGCGTTAGCTGAGTGCCTTGGACTCAATACCCTGTATCCACTACCCACCAAAAAACTGAGGAAATAAAACATTGTTAGAACTTAATGGAACAGTCATTTAGAGTAGTGATTTGGGGCTACAAAGTTAATTATTACTTAATTGTCTAGAAGAGTGGGTCTCAATAAGGGGCGATGTTGTCCACAGGGAACATTTAAAATATCTGGAGACATTTTTTACATTCATAACCAGGGGTGGGAAATGCTGCTTGTATCTGATGGGAAGAGACCAGGATTGCTGCTTAGCATCCTGCAGTGCACAAGGCAGGTCCCACAGCAAAGAATTATTCAGTTGCAAATATCAGTAGTGCCACTGTGGATAAACCCTGGCTTGGAATATACGATATGTACAAAAAAGCAATAAAATTAGTTTTAAAATACAAACAATACAATGAGAATACAAACAAAGGAAAGCTCTAGGAGGAATTTAGGAAGACTTTTTGAAGGAAATAACAGTTGGACTGGGCCTTGAAAGGCTTGTAGAAGTGGGCCATGCTGATAAGGAAGTAGCATTCTAAGCAGAAGATACGAAGTGAGCAATAAGACAGGAGCACTTTGCTTTAAACACTTCCTTCAAAACGGAGCCTAATTCTCGTATCTTTCACTGTGGGCTTGACTCTGTGATGGAAATGGTACCATGTGACTTGTTATGTAAGGAAAAGGATATCTTACACATAGCTAGCTCTCCCTCTCAGATCACTCACTTTGGAGAAAGCCAGAAGTTCTATCCAAACAGTCTTGGGAGAGTCCCATGTGGAGAAGACCTGAGGCTTCTCCAATAACCTGTCCCAACTTGGTAGTACATTATGTTGGAAGCAGATGCGCAAGACCAGGCATGACTATAACCTAATAAATTCCAAGCCAGACCTTGTGCTTTAGCTATACCTAAGTCCTTATTCCACAGTATCTGATTATAGGATAATAAATGTTTACAGTTTTAACC